CTTGGTGACCCGGACTGAGATTTGGCCGAGGTCAACAGTGAGACAGCAAAAGCACAGCTGCAGAAGGAAAACAGTGACCATCAGATGTCACCGAGTACGAGAGCAGAGTGGAAGGACGAAGATGGACGTGTGGCGCAATGGACGGGGCATGGACGAAGGGCTGAGGCCCCGTCCAGATCAGGAGCACCTTCGGAGGAGGCAGGGCTGGGGCAGAGCCACTGTCAGTGATGGCAGGCAAGTCTGCTCAGAGACTTCAGGACAGCCTGCCATGTGAGGAAGAAACCCAACTGCAGAGTGCCGGGCAGAGGTCGCGGGAGAACAAAGACAAACCCAGTGCTGTGGAAATGAAGCAAGAGACAAAGCCCGACTCAGACCAGCTGAGGGGAGTGGGAAGGGGCGCTGCACACGAGGCCATGGAAAGGACACAGGCTTCCAGTGGGGAAGTCCAGAGACCTCACAGCGGGGGCCAAAGCTGGTCTGATAGGGCCAGGATGGGACCGTGGAGCTGTGGGAGGGCAGGCAGAGGCATGAGACCTCAGGGCGGGAAACCAGCCTAAAAATGCCATTTAGGAATGCTCAAACAAAGCAAACAATCGACCCTTTTCTTCTCAGCCCAGAGAAAAGGAACAAGGCCCCCTGGGAGGAATACTGACACAACGAAACACTACTTGTCTACGGTGAGACACAGGGAGAGCTCTAACACTGAATGTTACTCCCTGGGTAAAGAATATTAGCCAAGCAGTTCCCCTCTAAACTACCTCAGGAGCTAAATAACCTGCTCCTGTGTAATGGCTACTAGGAGAGGAGCTGGGCAGTCCCTGAAGGCAAGAAGCAAACAGGGAAGAGAGAGAATATCCAGAGACTCCTGCCTAAGGGCTGGGAATGTTAGGAAGTATCTAAATGTTGCATATTTTATTCACTAAGAGAAAATGATACAGTAGCTCAAAAGAAGTCACTGTGGCCAGGGGCTCTGTGCAAGCCAGGATGCCTGATGCTTTCCACTGTCAGGCTGAAACACCTGCACCTGCCAAATGATGACAGAAACAGGCATGTGAAGAATATCTGCATATATAAACTCATTAATTTCTCTTTATTTGAAAAAAGTTATTAAGCACGTGTTAAAGGAGGTAGTTCAGCACCTGAGCACTTACTTGCCTTGCATGTTATGAAGTCACAGGGGCAATACCCAGCACCACAAAAAATAAAGTTAAGCAAGATAAAAATACTTGCCACATGTGATCAATTTCTTTTAGAGAAATAATAAGGTGAAAAATGGATATAGTAACAAAAGGTGACAACTTCTATGAATGATCAAAAACAATAAAAAGCAAGCAAAACACAATGAGAGTACTTTTCAGTAATCAAATTGGCAAGTTAAAACAATGTTATAACCAAAGACTACAAAGAAAGTGCGGGGGAGAGAGCAGGGCACTTGCCTTGCAGGGGGCGCTCCCAGGTCCGATCCCTAGTACCACACAGGGTCTCCCAAGCTCCACCAGGAGTGAGCCCTAAGCAGTGTCGGGTTTGGCCCAAAAGCAAAACCAACCATGAGCAAGAAAGGAAGGACAGGAAAGGTGACAGGGGAGGCCACCTGTGGGCCCACCAGGTACAAGGCCCCTGGACAGTCCCTGTAAGGAGTGACACTTCCTGTGTGGTCCCTCACTTAATCACTCCACGTGCTGAGTGCATCCCCTGTACAGTCAATTCATCAGCCCTCAGACAGCACGATGAGCAGAGAGCCTCGAGCCCCCAGCTACCCAGGAGACAGGGCACACAATCTGCCCTGCTGAGGGAGAGGCTCAGGACACACACACCTTTAAGGGAAGAACAGGGCTGCTTCCAGTGTTTCCTATCCAAGCTTGTCTCCTGGGGTTAACAGAATTAAAAGCTCAATGCATGAATCTCACAAATAAATGAATTCAAGTACATCCTCTATGGTGGCTTTAGAAATCTAAACTGCTGGCTCAGTGGGTAATGTGCAGGAACACCTACTTCTGAGTGTCATCCCCCCTGGCCGGGTGTCCTTGGAACAGCCACAGAGAATGAAACAAGTGAGACAGAGAATGAACATGTGACCAATGGCAACAAACATCCTGGGAAGCAAGGATGCAATCAAGCATCAGAAAGCTGAGACCAGGGCCAGAGCAATAGTACAGCAGGTAGGGCATCTGCCTTGCACCCTGTATGGTCTCCTGAGCACTGTCAGAGTGATTCCTGAGTGCAGAAACAGGAGTAGTAACCCGTGAGCATCACTGGGTATCCCCACACTCATCCCCCCCCCCCAAAAAAAGAGAAAGAAAGCAGAGACCTCAACACAACAAACATCCTGGGAAACAAGGATGCAATTACATATCAGAAAGCAGAGACCTCAGAAATAACACTTCTGTGCACTACAGGAGACCCACAAAATATAACCCAGTTACAAAGTGTGCAAACAATCTGAGTGGATATTTTCAGCTGGGCAGCTGGGAGATACACAAACAGCCAACTGTCGTGACGGTGGTGCTCGGTACCATTAGCCACCAGGACTACAGTGCTGACTACAGTGGACTGACTACCACCCAAGCCTGGAGACAAGCACCAGAGATGATCATAAGTGTTGGGGAAGATGAAAAGACACCTAAAGCCCTAGAGTAGAGAGGGAAACGTAAACAGGGTACAGCTGATTAAGAGAACTGCCTGGAAGTGCCACAAAACCAGGGCTTGGGGGCCGGAGCGATAGCACAGCGGGTAGGGCGTTTGCCTTGCACGGCTGACCTGGGTTCAATCCATCCCCGGCATCCCATATGGTCCCCCAAGCACTGCCAGGAGTAATTCCTGAGTGCAGAGCCAGGAGTAACCCCTGAGCATTACTGGGTGTGACCCAAAAAGCAAAAAAACAAACAAACAAACAAAACCACAGCTCGGAGGCCACATGGATCAGAGGCAAAGCATCTACTTTACATGCATGAATTCAAGCCCCTGGGTTCGACCCGCAACACCGGAAGACAGCAACTCATAGTACTTTCAGTTACACACCAGAGGCAGATATGCACTCAGAAGAAGGGAAACAAGGTCTACAAAAACCGACACACAAATGACATTCACAGAAGGATCATTCATAGTGACCAGCAAGGGCAAGTAGGCCAGATGTCTGTCCACTGCTGATGAGCAGACAAGACACGGCCATGAAGAGTGAAGCCGATTTAGCAACAGAAAGGAGATAGGACTGCCCGTGCCACAGCACTGAGGAAGGCTACGAGGTCCAATCCACAGAGAAAGGTTAGGGGCTGCCAAGAAACAAGAGGGTGAGAAAACACCAGAATGGGGACGATCACTCATAAACTGAATCTTTCTGGAATATTTAAAATTGTAGGGGCTGGAGCAATAGCACAGCGGGTAGGGCGTTTGCCTTGCACGCAGCCAACATAGCTGACCTGAGTTCAACTCCTCCGCCCCCTCGGAGAGCCCGGCAAGCTACTTAGAGTATCTCGCCCACACGGCAAAGCCTGGCAAGCTATCTGTTATGTACTCGATATGCCAAACACAGTAACAACAAGTCTCACAATGGAGATGTTACTGGGCCCGCTCGAGCAAATCGATGAATAACGGGAGGACAGTGATAGTAGGGGGGCTGGAGCGATAGCACAGCGGTAGGGCATTTGCCTTGTGCACAGCCAGCTCGGCCAAGCTGGATTCAATTTCTTTACCCCTCTCAGAGAGCCCAGCAAGCTACCGAGAGTATCTCGCCCGCGTGGCAGAGCCTGGCAAGCTACCCATGATGTATTCGATATGCCAAACGCTGTAACAACAAGTCTCACAATGGAGACGTTACTGGGCCCACTCGAGCAAATCGATGAACAACGGGAGGACAGTGACAGTGCTACAGTGCTCTATAGTTATAAGGTGGTGATAGTTTTGCAACTGTGAATATAGGAGAAAAACCACTGAATTGCACACTTTAAGTGGATAAATTTCCTTTATATAAAAAATAAGTCTAATAAGCTACAAAAAGATTTCTGGGTAAGAGTATTGCAAGTCATGGCTTGTTACACTAACGTCCATGTGTGCACAGAAGACACCAAGACCACGCGAAGATCCCAGGCCTCCAGGGGCCTCGTGGCAGCATGAGCAGGAAGGCTGCTCTCGGCTACCCTCAGCCCAGCTGTGGGGACCCCATGGCTTGGTACTTGGACCCACAACGCATGTCAGCGGGGCCCAAAGCTGCCCTAGTGGTGCCCTGGTGGCCAAGGGTATTGGGTGGACCTGGGCCCATCTCCCTCAATTTCATCCATTTTTAAGAAGACTCCTAGGACGTCAGGTACCCGACAGGTTTCTCCTGTTGTCCTCACTACTGCAGTTTCCTTGTCAGTTTTTAGCCGTCCAACCTCTTCTGTACAGTTTCACCCACTCTCCTTCTAACACACTATCCCGTTCGGCCACAGAACAGAGAAGCAAAGAAAGCAGCCCAGCACGAGTGAGCCCTGATACAGGCATGGCTGCTCCTGCCTGCTCAGAGCCTGACGGCAGGTACATGGACCCCAGCACTGCACTGAAGCTTAAGGCGCGTTTGAAACAGAATGCCAGGAGGAGGCAAGCCTGAGGAGAAATGCCTACAAAATCAGCTGTGCTTCACATGTGTCTAAGTGTTTGCGCCTGTACCAACCATTACAGAGCACATTCTATGACTAACCACTAGTATGTTTCCATGTCTACACAGGGACAACCCAGCATCCAGGGAAGGAGAATCCACTGAGAAAATATATGCAGTATGTTACCATGAGAAAACGATGTTCCTGGAACCCTATACTGCTCCCCCAGTTGCAAGGCGTGATCCCTGGGATCAGAGCCAGGATTAAGTCCTGAGCTCCTCAGGTGTGGCCCAAAAACAAACAAAACAAGATTGAATACACAAGCAAACAATACTATTTTCAAGAAAATTAAGACATGCAACCCTTCACTTATGTTAACTCTAAACTGATGCTCAAACAATGCCCAGTGGAATTATGTGTCTTGCTGACCTCTCACTGTAAGTTTGCTATACAGCTGTGAGTTCACTTCTTTGTCACGCTGAAAACGCCGAAACTCATCAATGGCTTCCCTCGTTATAGTGACAGCCAAAACGAAGCCCTGTGAAACAAAAGAAAGTGCTTGAGAAAATGAAATTCTGACATGGGAAAATTCCCTAGTGTTACTTCCTCGCCACCCCCCCCCCCCATACCTTGAAAAAATAAATTTACCTTTAAAAAGTAAAATAAAGGGCCAGAGAGAGACTACAGTGAATCAGACACTTGCCTTGCATGCGACAACCCTGGATTCTATCCCCGGCACCCCAGAGGGGCTCCCCTAAGCCCTGATCCCTGAATGCAGAGATAGTAAGTCCTAAGCACCACCAGGCATGTCCCCAAAACCAAAATAAGATAAAAAGTAAAATAAAGCTAAAATCAGCAACACTGAAACATAACAAGAGACATAAAAATTTCCAATAAAAATTTTTCTATCACATCATCATAAGCATTTCAAACTAAACACTAGAAAATACTTAGCAACTCTGAGAAAACAAGCAATCAATAATCTTCAACGGCCCCATGAGTTCTAGTTAGAAGGTGAAAAGCACATGGCTCCCAGGGTTTTGTGCCCTGCCAGAGAGAAAGCGCTGGCTGGTGAGGACACAGGCCCGGCACAGCAGGACACGCCCTCCCTCCTCCACAGCCCACACAGCTCTGCAGCTGCAGGGTGGACAGAGGCACAGTGACCTGAAGTGAGCCGTCATCATGAACCAGGGCAGCGCTGAGTTTCCCGACACCTGGCTAGGAACATTCAGGCCGGCCTCCTACGTGGTTCCAGTGCTCTGAATCGGTCCCTGTTACTCGAGGATGTGCTCCACTCTGCTCTGGCAGTGCTCAGGGGACCAAATCAGACCTCCTGTGTGTAAAGCCTGTGCCCAGCCCCCTGGACTCTCTCCAGCACTCCAGTCTACTTGTAACTGACAAGAGCCCAGAGTGGCCACCGATGGACAACCATCTTCAGTCCAGGTTTTACTCTGAGCCACTGGAGGCCAGCTGTTTCCTGAAATGTGCTCCTTCCTCCTGCTGCCTCCACTCCCTGGCCAGCACCACTGACGACCAACCTAGGGCACTTCCCTGACCCTCTTGCTGTCCACTCCACCCTGTCCTTCTTGCCGTCCACTCCACCCTGCCCCTCTTGCCATCCACTCCGTTGCAGCTCGTCCAAGCTGACCATGCTCTCTACACGCTGGCTCTTCCCTCCAATTCCGACCTCCAGCCTTGCTGATTCAGTTACCAGAGTGCCTTCTACAAGCTGGCAAGGATATGTTAAACCACCCAGCCCCAGCAACACACTGGCTGTGCCAGCCCAGTCAGCTCTTTCCACAAAGGCTGAGGAGTGTGTATGGCAATGGCACCCGGCCAGGCAGGGACACTCTCCCCTGACACTCGGGAAGCAGCACCATGCCCTGCTACACCATAAAGGAGCCATCTGGCCAGAGTGTACAAGTGGTGTCTACTAAGAGCACCACCTGGGAATGAATTCTGAAGCCCATGCAGACTCCCTGAAGGAACTCAGTGCTCAGGCCGGGGGCCACCAGCAGGGTTGGGGTCCCTGGGACTGCCAGGTGCTAGGGCTCAGGGTAGGCTCTCAAGCATGAGAGGTAGGTGCTCTCTCCTTAAACCTGCTCCCCGGTCCCTCCTTTTATTTTTAGATGAATCTGGGGATCCTCTAGTCAGTTTGTGAAAGAAAAGGAAGAATTGGCATTTTGCTGGTGACTGTTCTCCATGCCAAGGTGGGACTCAGGTCTCAGGCCCTGTGGCCTGGACCAGGCTGCAGTTGGAGGTCTGTGGCTAATGAACAGTAATGAACGAACAGGGAGTGCTGACCTCAAACAACACCCTCTCGTCTGGGCCCTCCACACGGCATGAGTCTCTGCGTGAGACAAATGTCTCATGGTTTTTCCCTTGCTGTCAGACCACAGTGTCATTCTCTTGTCATTTTCAGATCAGTGCAATTTTGGTGTATTCATCTGGCCCCCTACAAACTTTCTCACTTATCAGTCCTAAAGTTTATGTGTGTGGGTTCTCCTTAGCGAATCGGGCTTCCACCTGATGCCCATTACTCCCTTTCTTGCCTGGCAACCCTCTTCAGTGCTGACAGAAGTAGGGCTGGCTGACACCAGGCTTCAGTGCTGCTCGAAGGGCCATGTGTGGCTCACCCTGACACACATTTCTCAACTCTCGGTATTTTAACCAAACATCACCATGGCCACGCGTCAGGGGCAGCTGTCTTGTGCTGGGGTTTCACACCACTGGCTGTGTTTTTAGTTCTCATACTTTACCCACAACTCTGCTCAGAGAAACTCTCAGAAAAAGGGCAGATGAAAGGATTTTAAATCAGAGTGAAAAATCAAAGCCTTCATGGGCTGGTTTCTCAGATAGCTGATCTACTTTTCACTTAGGAATGAAGAAAGTACAGGAGGACGTTCTATATGGATGATATAGAGTTAAAAATCCGTATTTTCTTCCATCTAAATTTTTTATATGGTAGATCTGCTCCATCTTATTAAGCACAATAGAAACACGACAATCTGTTTTGTTCATCTGAAAACATCAGCTTTGCATCAAGAACTGTTCTGAAAGCCCAACAACCTGAAAGGTCACCTTCATTCTGAAGCAGTAATGTGAGAAGTCACCTTCTTCTCAGTGTATTATTCCATTCCATGAGAAAATGCAGCAGAGTACAATTAGGAATGAAAGTTAGCAAATTTCGCTGCAGGATAAAATGGTGGGGGTGGTGGGCATCGATTCCGCTATCACTGTTCTCTGAAACATCTCACATCCAGCAGTGCCCAGGGATTAAACCTGGCGCTCCCATATGTGCCGCAATCTTTCGAGCCAGCTTCCCAGCCCAGCATCTCACTTTCAGTCAGAGAACAAAGGAAGCACGTTTGAGAGAATCATTTCCTTTAAGGTTAATGGACATGACACATAAGTCATGTCCGCCACTTCTACGATGACTTTCTGCTTCACTCTTCCTTTGCCTTGAGCAGCCTCACTGAACCTTAGAGCAAGTAGAGAAAAGATGTTGAAGCCTTAAGTGCACATGTAAAAATCGATGCTTACGTCCATGGACTTAGGGTATGGGTAGACCATCCTGGGAAAGATCGGGCAAGAACTCAAGAGCCAATCCACAAATCCTTGCTGAATACTTAAAAAAAAAAAACTATTAGAAACAAAACCTGTATTCAAAATTTGCATTCAAAAGTTCTTTATGGGGCTGGAGAGGTAGCACAGCGGGTAGGGCGTTTGCCTTGCACGCGGCCGACCCGGGTTTGATTCCCAGCATCCCATATGGTCCCCTGAGCACCGCCAGGAGTAACTCCTGAGTGCAGAGCCAGGAGTAACCCCTGTGCATCGCCAGGTGTGACCCCCCCCCAAAAAAAAAGCAAAAAAAAAAAAAAGCTCTTTATCTTTGCCTAGATTAATAAAAAGATCAATACATAGCATCCAACAATTCAGATTTAAGTAATTTTTCTGAGGCTTGTTTGGCTCAGAAAACCCAGTGCTTGCCTCCTGGGGTTGAAGTCTGATGTGTACATGGAATGTACAAGAACAGTACACCCACCAATACCAACTATCCTCACTACTGACTACTTGAACAAAAATGTTGCGGCTGCTGCCAAGCAAGGACGGAGAGAGCAGTTCTGAGATCTCTCAGTGGGACACTCAGGGCACGGCAGTGGCAGTGACTCCGGGGGGTCAGAGGCAGCAGAGACCATCACTCGAGTGGAAGCCCAGGAGATCTCATTTCTCTCTTTACACAGATACCCAGCCAAAACACTGGAAGGTGGGTACTTACTGAGGTACTCATCTGAATTTAATAAATCCTCACATCAGAATAACCAAATACTTCTTAAAAGAGGGGAGACTAAAAATTCATAGTTAAAAGTTATAGTTAAAGCAGTAAAAAACCAATGTAGAACCAGAATGAGTCTTCGGATAAGACCAGAGAATGCAGAGAAAACCCGTATACATTCTCTCCAGGTGTGGCCAAGAAAATGGCCCTGTGAATGGCTGCCGTTCCCGTCTAGAGCCCCTAGAAAGAAACTGATCAAGAGTTAGTAGAAGACAAAAGTGAAATGCAAACAAATATTTCACTTTAGAATTTTAGGGAGAATTTGCGCTCGTAGGGCAGGAACAAAAGTACAGAAGGTAGGCACCTGCATTGTGCACAGCCGACCTGGGTTGAACCCCCTGCACTCCAGATGGTCCCCCAATTCCCACCAGGAGGCGTAAAACCTGAGCACAGAGCCAGGAATAAGCTCTGAGCACCATCAGGTGTGTGGTCCAAAGGAAGTACATGTTAATCCAAGGCAAAAACTGTATTTAGGTGGTAAATGTTATGTTAAAGAAGAAAAAGTGGCTAGAAAGAAACACATTAAAATCCTAAATACCATTTTTAGTATTAGAAAGCATTTGCTCTTTGATCTAAAGTCTCTGTGTGTTGAAGTTCTTATAAGGAAAATGAAAGAACTAGCCGTACATTTATTTCGGATATACTTCGAGGGCTCCTACAGCTCAGAGCACTTTCTGCATCCATGGAGACAAGTAACATACTCTCAGACTGAGCAGTTCCCAAGTTTCACTGAAACAAAAACAGAAATTGCCCTTCCTCAGGAATAGGCAAACAGGCAATTTCACAATGATCTAATGGGATGCTTCAGAAAGTACATATTTGTAGCTTTATAAACCAAAGGTAAGGCCCAAAAAAGCACACTGCCAAGGTTAGAGAGTAAGATAACCCTCATATGACATATCTGGAGCATACAGAATACTACTTATGATAACAGAGCTACACCGGAGATGAAGAAGCACACAGTAATTCTCATTAAGAATTCAGAACGGGTAAGAGTAACATAGGAAAAGACACCTATCTATCCTCTCTGTGGCCACCTGGCTTCAAGCACACCTTAAATCTGTGGGGCCAGAGCTACAGGATAGCAGGTAAAGTGCTGCCTTGCACTTGGCTAACCCAGGCTCTATCCCCAGAATCCCATATGGTCCCCTGAGCACAGCCAGGAGCGATCCCAGGGCGCAGAGACAAGAGCCTTACCGGAAGTGGCTCAAAGAACAGAAACAAAACTGTCAGACAAGCCTGAATGTCACCCTTCCTCTGAATATATCCAACACAGGGCATGTGGCGCCCCCACACCCACACTGCTCAGCTGCAAGCCCCTCACACTCCTGCAGCACTGATCTCTGTGACCACTTGTCCCCAGGGCCTGCAGACTCTGCCATCAACACCAAGGCCTTTCTCCATCAGCCGATCCAAGCCACCCTCCAGCTCCCTATAGATTCTCTTGTTTCCTCACTTGTCCAGTTTTAGGACCGGCCCCCTGGTGTTGTGGATCTCCAGAAACTGTCTTTCTCTCCCAGGACATAAGAACTATGAAGAGAGGACTTGTTTTACTCAGTGTTGCATGAGCTTTGCTTAGATTGGTACCAGATAAGAATAAACTCAATGCTGGCCCACTGTCAATTTTTCTGTCTTTTCTAAATACCCTGACCTACTTGTCTCCATCTTTAATGTTGCTAAAAACTCATTCTAATCACTTCTAAAGCTATGTACTGACAGAATTCCAGCATATATATATATCTGTATATATATATGCAGCACATTTAAAAAATATAATGTGCTATGTTTTAAATAATATTTTCCATCAAATATAAAAGGGGGGGGAGAGAGAGAGAGAGAGAGAGAGAGAGAGAGAGAGCTCCTTGCACATGTATAGCCTGAGTTTGATCATCCCAGGCCCTTTCAGGCTCCAGACCCCAACATTGCCAGGTGTGGGCCTGGCAGTACCCAGCCATTACTCCCAACTTCTATAGAGCAGTGTAAGAAGTCTACCCCTCAACTTCTACAGAGCTCTGTGAGAACTCTACCTCACAACTTCTACAGATCTGTGACAGAACTCTACCCCAACTTCTACAGAACTGTGTGAGAAGTCCACCCCTCAACCTCTGCAGAGCTCTGTGAGAACTCTACAACATATTCTGAACAGAAGTGAGAGAGCACATATGCAACTAGATGGCACTTTAAAACATCCAATCAATTCATCTTTTGTAAATAAAAATATGGAATCATTTCATTTGATTTCAGAAATCATTTCCATTACCAGAGGAGCCCAGTAGGTGTAGAGATAGCCTATTTTCAATGCAGGTACAAACTGTGAGCAGGATACTACCAGGAAATAGAGATTCAAGAAAAACTTGAATTGTTCATATAAAACCTAAAAAGGAAAAAATAAATAAATAAATCAACAAACACACCAAGAAAAACATCTTTCAAAACTCAGTTATTAAAAGCAGCACAATAGCTAATTACATTTCCATCAAACAGTGTGACTATCCCAATTCAGAGTAAAGTTAATTGTTTTGACACTGGCTTTCCAATAACTACATCACATAAAGAGAACCAGGATCAGCCCTGTGTTTCAAATAAACAAGGGGGGGGCGGGTAGGAGGGAGGGAGGGAGGGAGAGAGAGAGAGGGAGGGAGGGAGGGAGGGAGAGAGAGACAGAGAGAGACAGAGACACACAGAGAGAGAGAGAGAGAGAGAGAGGCCAATTAGAACTTCGAATTGTAAGAGTCTCCTAAATACTTCTGATTTTCCTGTGTGCAGTGTTCCAGTCTCCCCAGTCTCCCTCATGAATACAGATGTTTGTGCATGTGTCAGAGCAAATGAGCTGGTGCACACTTTCCTGGCCAGCCAGGTCGGGAAGGCTGACAGAAACACTGAGCGGAGTTCACTCAGAGAGTCGGGGATGGAGAAGGCGATATGACTGTTTATCTATGAAAGGGTGTCAAAGATGACAGCCACAGTTTCTGGATGTGGACTTTTGGAAACAGTTTTGCAAACACTGAACAAGCAAAGGATACACAGGGTCTGACTTCACAGGAAAACTGCCTTAATCTCCTGGGGGAATTTACTTCCCTCAAAGTTGAAGGAATAAAAATAAAAACACATATGCTACAGACCAACTTTCAGGGCAAGTGAGCTACACATTCTTTCTCACTTGGTAGTTGGTTTCCAAATACAAACATGATTCAATAAAATTCTACAAGTGTAAAGCCTTTAGGACTATCTTTTCATTTTGGGGATGGGCAGGACATTGGGGACACACCTGACAATACTCAGAGGGCCATCTGTGGAGCCAGGGGCTCAAGCTCGGTTGGCTGAGAGTGAAGTGCCTCAGCCCCTGTACTCTCTCTCCAGCTCCTCAAATATAATGATCTTCGATGAAGAACACCTAAGATCTAGTACACTGAGGCATCTATTTGTAAATGCTGCAAATTACTAAATTTAAATGAAAATCAAAATGGAATAAGACTCACGTTTATAGATGATAATAATTCAAACGGCATACTGCAAATACAATAAAACTTACTAACGTGCATATGAAAATATCCTTGGATGCTATATTTCTATGCAACTTGGAAGGTATGGAAATTTATCAAGAGCAGAGCAATGGGCCAAGTCCTCATTGCTGACTGAACAGTCTGGGGAATAAAGTCACCTACATCATCATACACTGTGTGCATGACTGAAAAATCAGTTACATTGATAACACGTTTATATTCATAATCATGTTCAATTGCTGTCTAAAAAATGTTTTGAATCATTTCATAAATTAATCTCAGCAGGAGAGAAAGCTCTCTTTTTCCTCAGTGATTTCTTTAAAATCTGTTAGCATAAATTATATCTATTAGCAATTCAGAAATTGCCATTTGTGCTAAAAATGGCATAGAATTCCTACTGTGCAATTACCAAATGTTTCTAAAATACTACATTTTAGATGAAAAGACTAATTTAATAGACAATCTAAGGGAAAAAAATCATTCACACAGTAACAGTTGTACAACACCTCAACAGGTATCCAGACAGCCCGACTTGGCAGGGTGGGAGAACCAGAAGCAACCTGCTCAAAGTTCAACCACTGCACCTGAGAGGACAGTAATCAATACCGTATTGTCTAGTGAATGAGCTCTGGGCCCTCAGGAAAAGAACAATGCTTAATCTGTGAGTATTTAATAATTTAAATGTAAGAAAAAAATAGCAGCTTCGCTTTAAAGAGAGAGAATATTAAACGTCCCGAAAGACAGTTTGCATTTTATTGTCCTGACCAAAAAATATCTTTTAATGATGGAGCCAATTGTTTTGTGTTTTAATAAAAGAATATACAAGGTCTCGAGCATTTCCCCACTGACTGTGGGTGAAGAAGGTGGGGGTCCTAGAGTCAGCAGAGGCAAGGCTGGCCCTCAACTCAATCATCGAGATTCTCCTGGAGGGCAGCTTAGGAGAAGATCAACTACATTTCTAACAGGGGGATACAAGAAATTTACTAAAATATAAAACAGTGTACAAAAAGGCAGCAATGTTTCAAAGATTCTACATACACCTGGTTTTGTAACTCCAGTTAGGAATATCACTAGCAATGTCAAAGTATGATCTGAATTTAGCCCAACTTTTAATTAGGAATAATAAAAGCTGGGGCCAGAGAGATAGCAGAGCAGTTAGGGCACTTGCTTGGCACACTGCCAACTTGGGTCTGATCCCCAACATCGAATATGGATCCCCAAGACCCACCAGGCAAGATCTCCTGAATGCAGAGCCAGGACTAGGTCCTGACCACAGTTGGAGTTGCCCAAACCCCCCACATAAGGACTAAAACCCACAAGGACCGAAATTTACATAAAGGAGCACTGACTTGTAAGTGCCACAAATACCAATACTGCAAGCTACTTGAGTAAAAATTACTTTCACTGTGAAACTCTGTGGCAGATTTTAAACATTAAGACAGTTTTTCCTTCAAACATTCCCAGTCAAAACATAAAGCTCAGGGCTGGAGGATAGTACAGCGGGTGTTTGCCTTGCACACGACCGACCCAGGTTCGATTCCCAGCATCCCATATGATCCTCCCATGCACTGCCAGGAGTAATTCCTGAGTGCAGAACCAGAAGTAAACAACCTGAGTTGTGACCCAAAGAGCAAAAGCCCAAAAAAAAAAAAAACCATAAAGCTCATTTTCTGACAATTTTGTTTAGACTTACTTTTCTCTATAAGAATATTAATCTATATCTGAAGGCAGTAATCGAACTGCAATTTTCTTGAGTTGGACTCTATGATACAAACATTTTAAAAGCGTAAGGATGATTCTGACAATAGTTTTAATGAAAACAAAGGAAGCTATTAATCTCCAACATGCAGCCACTATTAAGATGTGAGATGTGAGTCTTACCCCAGGTATGAAAGTCAGTACATTGTATTTCTGGTTCTTAATAAAGTTTCTGGGATGCTTCTCGTCACACTTCTCAGGGTGTCCAAGCCAGACTGTGCGAGCTCTCAGTTCTTCCTTTCTGTGACACATACTCACTAGCCAATCGCAGCAACTGGATGAAACCAAAGAGACATTTTGCATGTGGCTTCCTTCCATCTTAACGTCAGTTCTATGTGCTTAGAGATAATATTGGCGGTTCCCACCTCACACATATCTCACACCACTCTGTCGGACTTCTCTCCAAATAGATCAATTACATGGATTTAAAGTTGATATGGGGCTGGAGCGATAGCACAGCGGGTAGGGCGTTTGCCTTGCACGCAGGCAACATGGCCGACCCGGGTTCGATTCTAACCCAAAAGACAGAAATAAATAAGGTGACAAAGGTCTTGGGATCAGTTCACCATGTGATGACCATCTCTGAGGAAACCATTTCTCCCTGTTTCTCAGGCTGATTCTCCAGGAGCAGTGAATCTCATACAGCATTCAGTGCTGGACAAGGACACCAAGGCCTGATGGGACGTTCCAGGGTGAGCGGCCCTGGGTTGTATTTGCACCCAGTGTCTTTCCTTGGGCACTAAATGCTTCTGTTCTGAACTCATCCTTGCCCCGGCGGTCAGGGCCCAGATAGAGCCACATCTATACCCGCCCCCCAACACCTCTGAACTATTATCCTGGATACAGAGTCTAAAGCTTCCATGGGATATCCTTTCTAAAATGAATGTCCTGAGTTCAAACAGGCAGAGCAATGGACTTGATTAAGACTGAACCTCTCTTCCGCCAGAGCAGGGCAGTGAGCCCATGGGAGGCAGCACTTGGTGCCGAGTGCCAGTCACAGCTGTGGTGGTCCAGTGAGACCACACTGGGGGAGGGGTGACAGATGCCCCAGGAGCCCTGCCCTCCCCCTTAATGGGATCTCAGCACAGTGAGCAGGGAGAGCAGACAGCCGCTCCGAAATCCTGAGGAGTTACAAATCCCAGCAACTCAAGATCACTTGGGGCCCCTATAGTTCTGGGGTGGGAGAGGCGCCAACTACGCAGCAAGCAGTGGCACACTGCTGATGCCTCAGTTTGTCTGTGTTCATCTAACAAATGGACTGAGCTTCAGATGCAACAAAGCAATTTCCTCCTCCTAGTTTCTCACCTTCCTGGCCTCACTGACTCTTCTCTCCTTCCCTCTGCCCCTACCCAGGTGCAGCCAACCTTTCATCTGGATGCAATACACACTCCAGGTGCCTCACCCTACAGCATTTTATGCAAGCTCTACAATCATGTCCCAACTTCAGACTCAGGGCACAGTCCGAGTTCCCACACTGGATTAAGGACAAAGGTTATATCACTCAAGACTAGTACCTGGTGTGCGCAGAGCAGAAGGCAGACCCAGACCTCAAGCTCACCCCAAGTCAGGAGGGGGCCTCCTGGCCTCCTCAGGGGCCAGACTTCTTGCCCACTTCACAGATGCCCTTCCTCCACTAATACCCAGAGGCATCACATAAGGACATAAGGCTCAGTGGGAAAATAATGGTCTCATGCCGAAAGCACTTCCCAGCAAAGATCACGGGGAAGTACCTCACCTACGCTGGCTCCTGCCTGTAGGAGTGGCAGTATCACCAAGGTCAGGGAGGGGAACCGCTGCCCCTGCGTCCACGCTGCCCTAATCCTGACATGCCTGACTTCTCTACCGCCGTTTGCTAGTGCATATCCAAAGAGCAGCAGGGACTCAAGCAATGGGGACTGACCAGGGAGGTTGAAACCCAGGGACTGTGAGGCTTCTGATCTGCTGGGAGTAATGTCTTCCCCGACAGGCAGGCCTGGAAGATACACAGCACCACACACAGCCCACCACGTGGGCCAGACCCCATCTCCAGGCCACCAGTAGCCACTCCTGAAACACCACAGCTGCATCCTAGACCTGACCTCCAAAAACTCTGAATAGTCACTTTTACTATAAGCCCCCACAAAAACAAACAAACAAACAAACAAAACACATTCCTTGATTGCTAAGACTTGTATTCATGACACTTGCCTGCTCATACCTGCCAATAGGAAGTGTCCTCACCCGTCACGCCCTTCTGGAAAGCAGGCAGAGGGGAAGAAGGCATTTCAGAATGAGTGCTACTGCACAAAACTAAAGGCATACAGGCTGGGCTCCACCAGCGGCACCACTGGTTGAGAATACTATCAGGAAGGTCTGAGAAAGCAGAAATCCCCCAAATAAGGGGAAAATACGTGTAGTCAACTGCTTATGTGTAACCCATTATTGAGTTGTGGAGCTAAGGGGAAAATCAAATTGTGAGCAATGTCTAAGGACAAAATAATAGCAAATGGTGGTCAGTGCAAGGGAGCGCCCACAAAGTCCTTGCACGGAACTGTGAGAGCTGGACCGAGCAAACCTGGCAGCATTGCTATGTGGGCAGCTGTGTTCTAAGTGCCCGCGCATCAGAGACACATGCCCTCTCAAAGTGCCAGCTTGGGCGGTGAGCTCAGCTCAAAGTGGATCCAACTATGCCACTGATATCCTTCTTGACCACAAATGCCCTGACCCTCAAAGCAGTGCCTTCATACCAGATAAGCCGTCTACACCATCAGTTCCATCTCCTACAGCTTTGCCCAGCCAGCACAGAGCTCCTGGGGTGCAGGCAGTCCTCCACATGCCCCGGCCCACGTCAGAGAGCTCCAGCCAAGTCAACTAAGTCACAGCTAACTGGAATTTGTGTCTTCTGCAAAGACAAGCATTTTCCCGGCTTATGCACCACTTATGAGGCAGGTGAGTAACACAGGCCGTGTGGGAGCTGGATCTATCATCACCCCGCCATATGGAAGTGGCATCTAACAGATCCACAGTCTGGGTGGGTTGTTGAAAGTGGACCCAAAATGGGCCCTGACCGCAGACAGGCCAGCTGCCCTGATGACCAAGGTTCTCAAGGACAGACCACAGAAAGTGTTTGCCAATAAGCAGAGTCAGAGTTTATGCCAAAACCACCACCACCACCACCAAAAGGAAAAACACAAGAAAACAAGTCTTAAATCATGAAGAAATGAAAGTGCCCTCAATCCCTAAGCTTCTGAAGCATTTTTTTAAAGACTTAGTACTCACAGAAATACAATGAAATATTGATAAGTCAAGAGTTTTCGAAGACAGGCATTTTTTTTGTGGCTATCTCTCTCTTGGCGTTCCTCGCACAATCACGGAGGTGCTGAACCAGTCGATCGTATTCCTCGTCAATGTTGTCAATGATGGCATCTTCCCATGTTGCCACAATAGTGCCAAAAAGCTCCCAGTTGGTGGTCGTTCTGGGAGTTCTCTTCTTAAACTCTGCAGCCCTTTCTCCCTACTCCGTGAAGTTGAATTTTTCACAAAGGAGATGGTGGTCCTATGCCGTTTGGAATTTTGGGACAACAGCGACATCAACCAGGCAAAACCATCAATCGAATATGATGTGGTCAATTTCATTGTGGAACCGTCCACTGGGAGACTCCCAAGTCCAATGTTTAGATTCAGCCTTCTGGAACTGTGAGTCACCATGGATAGTCTTGGTCGACATGATGAACTCAGACAGTCTCTCACCCTGTTTGTTCCATTCTAGGCCATGGGTTCCTATGTGGAGTTCTTCGGCTGATCTTCTCGGTCCTATCTTGGCATTAAAATGATCTTGTAGAAGGTGTGGTCTTCTTTATAGAACTTCTCCAGCTCCATGTGGAATGCCTGTCCTCGAAAACTCTTGAGCTTACTCACCAACGAACAACGTGGCTTGGCGCAAGCCTCAGGCAACCACAAGCGAACATCCGAACTCACAAAGCAGTGCAGAGAAGCAATAAAGAAAGACCTCAAAGAGAAAAGAGCAGCAGTGCTGGCAGATGCGGCAGAAGCCTGGAAAAGCATTCGCAACTCCCACCTGTCCTTCCCCAACTACAAGACCAAGATGACTGCCCTCCAACGTCCTGATGGATCTATCGCATCTTCCAGAAGGGCAATGAAGATAAATCCATGACTTCTACTCGGGTCTCTACAATAGCCATGTCACCTGCCCACATACTAAATTCCGCAGGACGTGTATGTCATGCCCAACATTCTCCCTTTCAAAATCCGACACACCATTTCGTCGGTAAAGAAGCGAACAGCACCTGGCCCAGACAAGGTCAGACCATGCCATGACATTCATTGGCAACTATCACCTCATCTGTCTGCTGTCTGTCGTCTACAAGCTGTTCACTCGAATCATCCTGAATAGGATTGGCAGAACACTAGATGAAGGACAACCATGCGAGTAAGCCGGGTTCTGCAAAAGATTCAGCACGATTGACCAAATCCACACAATAACCAAGCTCATTGAGGTTTCTTGGGAGTTTAAGATGCTGCTCTGTCTAACGTTCATTGATTTAAAGAAGGTCTTTGATTCTGTTGAGACGGAAGCAGTCATCGAAGCCCTAGCCAAACAGGGCGTTCAAACTCAATACATCAGGATCCTCCGTGAGCTATATTACAGATTCACTACCAGGATCTCACCATTCTACAAAGAAGTGATCATCCAATGTCAAGAGAAGGGTCCAGGAGAGTGATACCACTTCACCGAAACTCTTCAGTGCAACCCTCGAGAACGTCATGCAACAACTGGAACGGGAAGGAATGGGAGTGAAGATAGATGGTTGGCAACTACACCACCTCCGCTTTGCTGATGACATTGTGCTAATAACACCAAACATTAGCCAACCAGTACAAATGCTGGCCGACTTTGACCATGAGTGTGGAAAGGTCAGACTACAGCTGAATCTCACGAAGACAATGTTTATGAGAAACAGTCTCATTCCTGACGTTCCATTTGATCTCAACAGTATGAACATCTCTGAATACAACAGTTATGTGTACCTAGGTTGAGACGTCAACATGACGAATGACCTGGCACCTGAGTTGTGCAGGAGGAAGAGAGCAGCTTGGAACACCTTCAAGAGCGTTGAAGAGGGGCTGGAGCAATAGCACAGCGGGTAGGGCGTTTGCCTTGCACGCGGCCGACCCGGGTTCAAGTCTCAGCATCCCATATGGTCCCCTGAGCACCGCCAGGGGTAATTCCTGAGCGCAGAGCCAGGAGTAAACCCTGTGCACCGCCGGATGTGACCCAAAAAGCAAAAAAAAAAAAAAAAAAAAAAGAACATTGAAGAAATAGCTAAGAGGATAAAGAACCTCCAGGCACATCTCTTCGATTCCACTGTTCTTCCTGTATTAACATACGCCTCAGAGACCTGGGCCCTACGAAAACAGAATGAGAACGCTATTCGGGTCTCCCAAAGAGGAACTGAAAGAGCTATGCTTGGAGTATTGTGCTTCACTCAAACAAGAGAAAGAATCTGGAGTTCTGACCTCTGTCAAGAACGGTCAAGAATCAGGGACGCTGTCTCGTTTGCCAAGGCATCGAAAATCAGATGGGTTGGACAAGTAATGCGATTTGGCGACGACTGCTGGAGTAGAGATGTTACCGACTGGATTCCATGGGATGTCAAAACATTGTGTGGTCGCCCACCTACAAGATGGTCAGACTTCTTCGCCAAGACCTTGAATGATCCATTTGAGGCTCTTTGTGTTCCTAGAATGAGCAGACGCCATTGGGCTACACGAGCACGTGAAAGGGACAAATGGAGACATAACTGGCGCCCGCTGGAGCAAATTGATGAGTAACGGGATGTCAAGTGATCAAGTGATTGGTAAGTCAGTTATCACTCTCTGATTACAGTATTTCCCGTTTTCCCCCTGCAATTAAATCATTCTATGTATTTTCTATTCCTTGATCCCTCATCTAATGCTTAATAAAGACTGAACCTTACAAGGTCTGAGAGTGAGAAATATCAGACTGAAAACCCTCAGGGAAGAAGGAAAGGCCAACCCAGGCTGCTGCAAGTGCACTCTGCTCCTGAGGTACAGTGTTTTCCCTTCTCTACAACTGCCCAGTCCAGCAGCCCCTGCTGAACCGAGAGAGCCTGGTCGGATCCTAGGCCACCTTCCCATGCACAGAAGGCCCCATGGACAGCGCCACCTGCGTGGAGAAGCAGCGTTTCCATGCAACCTTCCCACAGAGGAGAGAAACTTCTAGAAATCTCTGGGATTCTTTGTCCCGCCCCCCTCAAGCCCCCCCCCCCTTCAGGGAGCTGCTGCCAACACCACAATTCCAACTGTACCTACACTGTCCCTTCACAACAGAATAGGTCACCACTGAAACCCCGAACTTCCCTCTGGAAGGAACATCGCCCCTTAGTGAGACACCCAGCATGATGGACCCCCTACTGGTGCATGCGGTCTAGAGCAGGGTATGGGCTATGCTGAGTGGGCTGGAAGGTGGTTCCGGCGGCCCAGGTGCAGTGCCACCCCCCCACACAATCCTCCATGCCCCCTGGATGGGCTGGCAGGATGTGAGTGCAGGTGCTGCTCACTGCAAGGCCACAGGTTGGCCTGGGCATCTTCAGTCCCAGAAACGAAACGTGCATTTCCCCAGTTGACAGAACGGCAGAGCTGAGACCTGGTTCAGTCTCTCTGCCCCTGGACAAGAGGCATTTCCAGGCATCCCTCCACCTCTTGGCCACTCCAGGGATGAAGAGCGTGGTGGGGCACCTCACCCCCAGGCAAGCATCTCCTGCTCTTATCAGTGACCCCATGACCCAGTGAGAGCCAGTCACCTTTTCCACCACGCCAGCACCCTTGCCCCTTTCTCCACATGACTAACAGTGGGTGCTCTTTTCCTCCCAACAGCTCTGTCCTCCCCTTGCCTGCACCCAGCCCACACCTCTCGTCCATGTACTTCTGCTCCCACTACAGGGAAATGGAGTCCGCACATCCTGTTCCAGGGTACCCACAGACTGTCTGCAGCAGAACAGCCCCCACATGACCACTCTAGAAGGAAAACTACCAACAATTTTAGATGAGCAACTTATTCAAAATTAAGATGGGCCAGGGAGGCAGCTCACCACCAAGAGAAACCTCTGCATGTGCTAGGATCCAAGTCCTAACCCTGGCACCACCTCCAGGTGTGACCCTTTAAGATGCTGAGCATTGCTGGGACCCTGAGCTGCTGGTTCAGCACCCAGGGACCAGACAGTTCTGTGTCCACAGCAATGAACTGTCCATCCATCCCAGGCAGCCGAGCAGCACCAGGAATCCCCTGTGCACCGCAAACAAAACCTGAAAACGACCCAATATAGCTCCCATTATACCTTGGTGAAACACTAAGTGCTCTTTCCCTGAGATAGGCAGGGCAGGGACAGTCTCTCCTGGCCTGCTGCAGGGGAGGACACTGTCCTAGAAGGCATCCAAAGGAAACACAGGAGACTGATCACCAGGGAGAACGAAGACTGTCCCCTACTGGCAAATGGCACAGTTCTACAACACCAAGGAATCAACAAAGACATGCGTAGGGACCGAAAGGTGAGTGAGTCCCACAAGGTCACAGAATGAAAGACAGAACTGTTTGTTCTGTGGACTCGCCATGAACATGTCAAAGCCAAAATATAAGACTCCAGAACCATTATAACCACTAAAAACAGACTTAGGAATAAATCTAATGTGTACAAGATTCCCCTGCTGAAAATGACAGAACCTGATGAAAGGGTCAAAGTGTATCTGAATAAGTGGAGGGAAGTGCGAGCTCAAGATCTGGAATTTGAAACGGCAAAGGAGTGCACTGTCCCAAATAAACATAGAGGGCTAATACAATCCCTTCCAACCGAAATCCCAGCTGGAATTCTGGATACAGAGAAAACAATGCTCCAAATTCAGGCCAAGGCAAAGGAATTAAGAATCTGGATAAAGGAGAAACCAGGATCCACAGGAGGACTCAGATGAAGTGACAGCAGACAGAGTGGCATGGGCAGGGCTCAGACAGACCAAGGAGAGCAGATGCCAAGGAGGGTCACCCAGTGGAGCCCAGGGCCACCCCTCAGGAGGGCAGGGACAAGCCTGCAGAGCTCCACCCCACCCCCACCCAACCACAGACCCGAACCGTGCTGGCCAGCCCCAGCCATGGGTACGGGCATGTTGAGAACCACAGAGCCAGAGCATAGGGACTTAAATACAAAACTGAAACTAGAGAAATCTTACAGAAAGTACCAAGTACAACATACAACATCAGAGAAACAAAAACAAAACAAGCATGTACTCCTGTATCCATTAAAGGAAAAGACTGTGGGTCCCAGGGTTAAGGCACACAGCTACACCCAGCAAAATCCCTGATACGGGTCCCTGAGCCCTGCCAGAAGTGAGCCCTGAGCACAAGGCCAGGAGTCAATCCCGAGTGCTGGTGAACATGGATCCCAAAAACAAAAAAATTAAAAACAAGAAACAGACTGTAGGGACTGGAGCGACAATACAGCAGGCAGGGCATTTGCCTCACACAAAGCTGATCTAGGTTCAATCTCCGGGACCCCATATGGTCCCCCCAGCCCCACCAGGAGTGATCCCTGAGTTCAGAGTAGGAATAAGCCCTGAGCACAGCTGGGTGTGGCCCCAAAACCAAAGAAACAGACTGTAGAGATAAGTACCCAGAGAGCACTGCAGGAACAGTGCCTGGTTAACAAAATGTTCTCTAAAAGTCACAGATCATTAAGTTAGTAATACAAGTCAACAATTTCTAAATCACTGTTTATTCACAAAATTCTTTCTTCCAGTGGAAAAAAATCACACTATGTAAAAGAGACAAAGATCAAGCTGAGGCTGAATGGCGTGAAAGATGAGTCTTCAGCCTCATATCCTGACTCTCTCTGAGCCAGATGTGGCCGTGGAATATGATCTGAACCCTACCTCACAGCGTGAGCCAGAGTTAGACCAGAGAGAGAGCCTTCCACTGACAGACTTCTAAAGGGATCATGAGGATAGCAAAAGGGTTACCCCACAACCTTTCTCGTCCCTTCTATGCAGAAGGGGCTGTAAAAGGCAGCACCCAGTCGGCCAGTTCTCTCCTGCAGTCTCTGGCGCGGTCCCGGCCTACCATGTGCCTGCACAGCAGGTTCTGACGAACAACATCAACAGACCAGCAGGGTATGTCTCGGCGTGCTCCAGCCGGCAGTGAACTTACTGGCAACAGGAGTTCTACTCATACAGTTCTGGTTAAGTTAGAAGCATCTTCTTCTAAGCAGAAATATTAAAGTTGAAATATATAATAGCTTTGGTGCCACTGAGCTGCATTTTATAGGTCTCACCTACTTTTTCAGGTGAGCGTATCAGCCCAGAGGAGAAAGGCACTCTATACATATACAATGATGACTGACCAGGATCAAGTCTATCATGCGTGAATCTCATTCTTTCCATCTTTGAACCTTACATCTTCTCGTGAAATCAGGAACCGGGCTTTCTATCTGCCCCTTTCAGACGAGCACTGTCTGACTTGGGCCTGCGGTACCAATGCTCCTCACCTACAGCCTCCTCTTTTGCCTGCTACAGAAACATACACTGGACTCTAAGTTCTCAAGAAACTGACCCTGGGCACCTAGTAATGGCCCAGAGCGAGGATCACAAACCTGGTACAGAGGAACTTCCAGCCACCACACAGCAGCCACCGCAGGCCTCTTCTCCTGTGCGTGGCCCTCGCTCGCGGTAGTGTGTGGTAATCACTTTCATCGTTCTCAAAGCCCTCTTCAGACATCATAAGGGGCATCTCATCCAAATGTGCAGATTCATCTTCCAGATGGTACCTGGTTCAAGACAAGAAGAGACCGCTGAGATGGGTTCACCTGGGGTCACTTGGGCTAGTCAATCCTAGTTGTGTTCTGCCTCTGTCTGAGGCAAATGGCTGTCGGCAATCCAGGAGGGCAAAGCCACCGTCCTAGGGAGGAAACCCTCTGTAGCAAGGCTGGACGAGAAAGGGGCGGATCAGGAAGCTGATATGGCCATGGCCCAAGCAACACCCTTGAGGTGTCCCATCCAGGATGCTAAGGCACAGCCATACAAATCTATGAAAGTTAAAAAGCCATCATCCAAAATACGGCTGCCAGCGAGCATGCAGATACCCATCTAAACACGGGTTGTCAGGCACATCTAAACACATGTTGTCAAGACTCAACCACTGCACCATAAATGGAAGCTGTGTGAGAGACACCCATGTAGGTGTGCTGAGGGCGGGACTGGCCCACGCCCCTTTATGTGTCGTCGGGAATGACAGAGAGGAGGGGCTGGAGCAAAAGTACAGTGGGGAGGGAGTTTGCCTTGCATGGAGCCAACCGGGTTCAATCCTTGGCATTCCGTATGGTCCCCCATGCACTGCCAGGAGTTATTCCCAACTGCAAAGCGAGGAGAAAGCCCTGAGCATTACCAGTATGACTCAAAACAAAAACAAAAACAAAAAAAAAAAAAAAGAAGAAAAAAAATGATGGAGGAGCTCCTGTGATGACAGGACATGAGACAATTAGGAATGGCACAATAAGGGCACCAGCACCACTTTCAGCCACCCCATCCCACTAGATAACAAGCTCTGCCCTCGAGGAGAAGACTAACATCTCAATGGTACAGTCACCTCACGGACGACATGGAACAAACTCAAACAATAGTTGAAACTATTACAAAATAAAGATGACTTATTTTTTTCCTAGAGAACACGTAGAGGGACCGGGGCACCAGAGATAGGGCAAAGGTTAAGGCACCAGCCTTACACACAGATGGCCCGGGTTCAACTCCTGGCACCACATATGGTCCCCAACACCGCCAGGAATGATCCCTGAACACTGAGCCAGGAGTAGGGCCTGAGCACTGCCAAGCCTAGCCCTGGCCCCAAAATCTCTGTAGCAGAAAAGGTACCTGGAAAACCCAGAGATACTTGGGGAACAAAAAGACATCTCTAAATGACTGGTGGCCATAGCGGAACTATCAAGGGAAATCAGAAGCTGGTTTTAGATGAGAATTCAAAGAGGGTGCAATCTGGGGGATTAAGAGTCCTTAAAGGGCAAGCAGAGCATTAAATGCTAAGATCACAGAGAAAACGGAACCACAGTGAATTACCTAGCAGTCGAGTCAAAGAGCGAAGCAAGTAGATGGAAATCATTTTTAACCAAACCACTTGGAGATTCTGACAGATGATGAGAAATCCTTTTGACCGTGGTGATGGAAACAACCAGACACTTCAAGCAGAAGTGTTGTTTTATGAATAAATTTCATATAACAAAGCTGATTTTATTTAAGAAGTGGTTAAGAAGACCCTGGAGCAAGCTTGGGGCGGGGGCATGTTAGGTTCCCCAGGCAATCCTGGGACAATTTGGACAAAAGACTAAGTCCTACTACCCGAAAGGCATGAAGTCAACAGGACCTGTGAGTGCTGGAGCTCCAGGAAGATGAAGAGTGAAGGCTGTGAAGAAACCGGCTCCCAGATGCGGCAAGAAGGTGAGGAGTGGGGCAGACTGGTGTGCGAGTGGGCCCCCCGGAGCCAAAACAGCAAACCCCAACACAGACCCAGAGCCCCAGCTGAGCCACCCAGCCTTGCTCTGCTCTCTGACCCAAATGAGGATAGGGTCTGTGACAGGCTTTAGACAGCAGCTTCCCAGGTGCCATCAACAGGCCAGCAGCAGTACCTGGGCATGTGCCTAAAGCACCAAGCCTCAGGCTCGCCCAAACCTCTCAACAGAAAACTCTGGATGCAGACTTCCTTTCCAAACATGAGCAAAAATAGTTCTTAACCTTTGGCAGAGCAGAGTCTTGGGAAAAAAAACAGACACTCGTAATGGTTGAACAATTAGTGAAGATGTAATGAAAGCCTATTTCTGTAACGTAACTTCAACTACAGGGTTCAATTATCCCACGGAAATAGACAGTGCTCGATTTTTACAAAGCCCCCGACGAGCACGGGCGAGCCCATCGACAATCAGACCGGTTCCATCAATGAGGAAATGCCGGCTGCTCTCTACCAAAACCGAGAAGCTGGGAAGGTGTGAGAAGGGTCACGCCTCTCACGCTCTCCTCACCTGATCCAAACAGCGCTGGTGCCCACCTGCCACCCAGGACCCATGCTGCCATCAGAGCACCCCCAACCAGCCACCGATTCGGCTCACTGATGCAGAATAGCCCTAATACGAAGTGATGATTTTCCTTGTAAGAATTTCTTTCTCTTACTTCTTGTGTAAGAGCACTCATCTTAGAATAGGCAAGTAGGAAATGACGATCATGCAAAATGCAATCAAAATTCAAGACACCATTAAATATATTATAATCTAGTATAAAAAATAAATTTTTAATTTTCATGAAGTTATTCCGGTGACTCTGCTGCATTTTAGCAAAAGTCACAATCTTATCAAGTCTAATGGTGGAAAAGCAGCAAAATGAGTCTCAGAGAAATGAATACAGACAACATCATGTTTCGTAACCTCGACTTCAGAAATGGCGCCTTTGAACTGGCAAGCAATTTATTCCATTTCCAAAGCAATTTTCCTATTGTATTGAAAATTTTACTTCACTATTTAAAAACAATAAGATGATGAATAATGGATTTTTTTCAGACACAGGATAAGCAGAGAATCTTAAGTGTCTTTGTTGCCTGGTGTCATACACACTTAATTGGTTTGTCACTCAGGAAAAATCAACGTTTCCAGCAATTAAGTATAATTCTGGAAACATATTTTTAAAACGAGTAAAAACAATGTGAACAAAGACGACAGAAAAGATGATACAAAACCCAAGAGTGCTGCCATGCTAAGGAATGAAGACAGCTATCTCAGCCGCTGCTGAAGGCTGGAAAAAAGGTGGATTCTCAACAAAACACTCAGGTACTATGCAGAGCATTTAAAGGTTTCTAAGGAAAAGTAGGTCAATACAATAACGAGCTTAAACTCACTTCCTCATCTCAAGTAGCTAAGGGACGCATTGTTTCTATCTGATGAGAAAGTCTTGAAGTCAACAAGCATCAGAGGGAGAAATACATTTAAAATATGCCTAATGCTGAAACCTCCCTCAAGAAAAATAAACATTTCCCCTTTTCCTGCATAGTAAAGAAAGCGAAAAAGAAAGCAACAAAGTGTACAAAGAGACACTAAGGCTCCTTTATCCAAAGTTGGTGTCACTGGCAGAGTCCTTGATAAGCAGCCAGGCTGACGCTCTGGTCAGACACTGGCTAACTGGCTTGAAGGAGAAGCAGGAAGAACAGCTGGAGCGTGTCTCACAGATTTCATCTTATGGGAAGCGCATGAAGGCGGGCCTTGTCGTCAGTTCTTCAGACAGCAAGGACAAGTGCCAGGTCTCTGGCTCTCAGAGGCTTCCCCACGTAAACTGCACACAGCAAGCCCAGACCTACTCAGGTCCCTTCTGGGAGGTTCTGAGAAATCTGAGCGCCACTGCAGAGGGAGGCTCAACACACTGAGAAGGCGAGACCCAGGTTCAATCAATCCCTGGCACCAGACTGGGAGTAGCCCCTGAATACCACTGAGTGTGGCCGAAATAAAAAGAAAAAAGGAAGAAAGCCAAATGCCAATTTTTGACATAAGCAACTGCACCTACTGAAACCACTGTGACTCGAACTGAGTCTTTCCTCTGTGTAAAGGGCACCCCGATAACCTAAGGGCTAAAGGCCAGTTTCCTCAGCCCATCATAACACCATCATCATGCTCTCACTAACAACAAGCAGTGGGTGAAACATTTCTGTTCTGGTAGGTGTCAAGAATTTCATAGACTGAGTGGTTTGCAGAGCCCTCTGGAAAGGAAGTCTTACAGACCCGAAGAACAGGTCTGATCCAGAGAGACCTAGAGCGAAGCAACTTCAGAAACAGTGCCCACTCTGTACTTCAGAGTTCTCAACTGTAATCCAACACAGCAAAGAAGACTTGCATGCTGACAACTAGCGAGATATTTATTAGGTCATCATCACAACTGCATGTTTTTAATATCCATAGAAAATCACAGATAGACACTCCGAATGAGAAAACTAGCATGTAAAGAATCTGCTGTTGCTGCTACAGAGAAACACACTAATATTTTAGAGATAATCAGACAATAGCCATCTGTTCTCAGCATGAGCCTCTGTTCAAACGCTAAAGTTTGACTATTATAATAGTCAGATGTGTCTAGGCAGGGCCAATAGCTCTATCTAGAGAGAAGGAAAAGGTACTAACGGACATGGGTAAACAAAATAGGGTTCCCACTCTATTCTCTGTTCATGATAGATAAACTGAATACATGAGGAGCATATACGAAATGGGAAAAAACAAAGGCTTCCCTCTGACTCATGTTTAGACGGCAGAAGAGACCAAAGCCTCACATGCCACTGGAGAGCTCTAGTCCAACAGGCGACTGCTTTCAGCAAACTACTGAATGTCAAGCTTTATTTACCTAATGATATATATTCGAAACTTTTAACATTCACTAAACCATAGTGAATCTGACATCTTCCCTTGAGAATTTTCACAAAAAACAAACCTAACAATTAAAAATTTCATAAGTTGTAATAATACTTATACCCACTTTATATGACCTGCATAAATTGCATAATTTTACATGACAGTTTGATACTTAAACAAATACACCCAAAACTTGCATAAAGAAGTATAACATCACTGTATCACTGTCACCCCCCCACTGTTGGTCGATTTACTCGAGGAGGCGTCAGTACCGTTTCTATTCCTTTGAGTCCTGAGATTTTAGCAGCCTCTCCTTATGGTAGGACGTTTGCCTTGCACACGGCCAACATGGCCGACCCGAGTTCGATTCCTCCGCCCCTCTC